TGTTTTCTTTTTAAATTAATGGTGAAAAAATGCTTTGGACGAGCTTTTTAAGAAGGTTGTAAATTTTCTTTTTATTTCAATTAGCCTTTTTAAATTTCTGTATAGTTAGGACAAAAAACATTTATTAATAATTTTTGAAAAGCTTAAAAATTCATCGAAATATTTTTAAAAGAATTTTGATTTTTTTTTTGCTATTTGTATAAACGTAACGAATTTTGTTGATACGGATGTTCATACACACAATTATCAGAAAATAAGAGCAATAATTATATAGTAAATTTAAAACCAAAGTATCTAAGATTAAATAAAACATTATATTACGAGAATATTTTTCTAAATTTTAAAGATTAATGAGTACTTATAAATTATATAAAACGGTACTCACTCACAGGGATGTCATCCATGGCATGAAACCCATTGAGAAATATCTAAAATATAAACGATATACAACCGCTTTCTAAGATTAATGGTGAAAAGGTACGAGCGAAGGTTTAATTTTCAAAGCTTTTCTAAAGGACAAACTATCTTACAGTCTTTTGTAATTAAACTCAAAATTTTACGATTTTTTTAATCTACAATCAATTGACTTGCGCTTTTATGAGAAAAGAGCACTAATAAAACTAAAAAGTAAAAAACGCTAATGTATAAACATTAAATCATCTGAGTTAAAAAACTGATCGCATCAAGAAAACTGAACTAGAAATGATCGTAAGAAAAGCGTAAGGGAATTTAACTAAAGCTTAAAACACAGCTGAGCGTAAATAAAGAGCGTAAGACAATTGAGAGTAGTGACCAAAAAAAAAACAAAAAACAAAAAAAAAAAACGTAAGAACATTAAATAATAGTATAAAAGATTATCAGAAAACTGAAGGTATGACAGTATTTACATTGACTATTGTCCTCATCTTTGTCGCCATATTTGTCACAACGTTTCGGCCGTTGTTTGATGGATGTCAGTTATCAGTTATCTCCTGCTAATTTTCCCTCTGAAAGTTCTCCACTGCCTTAACCAGGAATTGAACTCATCTTCTTTGGGTCTGTCACTGGATCTAACCAACGCCTTTATCCACTGTGCCATGTGTCCTTGAGGACATCTGGGTATGAACTTCTGAGTATTATAAACCTAATGTTTTCAGCATCATTTTTACCATTGCTCATATTGCAATTTTGCTGTTATCATTGCATGTCTTTACCAGAGATCATATTGGATAAAGGCGTTGGTTAGATCCAGTGACAGACCCAAAGAAGGTGAGTTCAATTCCTGGTTAAGGCAGTGGAGAACTTTCAGAGGGAAAATTAGCAGGAGATAACTGATAACTGACATCCATCAAACATGGCACGTGGAATTAGAACAGTCTACCCAAGTGATCGAAATAAAGGGTTCAGTTCGACATTCCAACCACCTGAAGAAGGCCGGAGCGTACAACGGCCGAAACGTTGTGACAAATATGGCGACAAAGATGAGGACAATAGTCCGATTAATGTAAATACTGTACATAATACCTCATCTCAGAAATATAGACAAACTCTGAAGGTATGGCAATTTATCTCATTTACAATTGAGCGAAAGAAAATTATGCATAAGACAAATGAACGTAAGATAATTGATTATAAGTCGATACAAAACAGTATAAAAGATTTGAGCGTTAAGCACAAAAGTACATAAATAAAAAATAGTGTAAGACTGTTGCGGTTAAAAGACGTAAGTGTATGTAAACAAGCTGCGTAAGACAATTGAGAGCAATGCAAATGAGCGTAAGACATTTGAACATACGCATAAAGAGTAAAGAGCGTAAAACAATTGAGGGTAAGAGAATTGAGCGCAAGTATGTTTGAGGGTAAGGCTTACAAAATCTGAGTATGAACGAGCATAAGACAATTGAGTATATGTATGAGGCGAAAGTATAGTATGAGCGAAAGACCTTTGTGTATAAGTACAAAAAAAATCTGAACGTACAAAGAGAGCTTGAATATAAACAGTGTAAGACAGTTGATGGTAAGCTAATTGAACGTAAGTCCAAAAAAGCCTACGTATAAAATACCGTAATCTAATTGAGCGTGGATGCAAATGGCGCGAAACACTTGACCGTAGATAAAAAAAAAAATTAGACAAATGAGTGCAATTAGAAAACTACATCGTTAGACAATTTAAAGTAAAAAGATTTAACGCGACTACAACTGAGTTTAAGTACAAAAGAGTGTAAGAGAAATGAGACAATGTTTAAAGAATAAATATAGAGCATAATACAATTGAGTATAAATGCAAAAAAGTAAACAAATTATTCTATAGAGACTTGTACATAAATACAAAAGATCGTAAGTATAAAGTGCGTAAAGGAAGAGAGGGAAAGTACAAAGAATGTAAGTATAAAAGAGCGTAAAATATCTGAACGTACAGAGACATAGTATAGAGTGCATAAGAAAATGCTTGTACATTGGAAACTGTAAGATAATTTATGGTAAGAGAATTGAGCGTAAGTACAAAACAGCGTAAGACAAATGCGCCTACATCTAGAATGTTAGTATAGTACGGAGGATAAGACAAGTTAGCGGATACAGAATGGAGGGTAAGGCAATTGTGTAAAAGTAACAATGACATCTGAACTTACGTATAAAACGTACGCAAAAAGTGTAAGACAAAAACGTTGACACAAAAACGCCTAAGTTCAAAAGAGCATAAAAGAACTGAAAGTACAGAATTAAGCGCAAATGCAACTGAGCATAAAGAGCGTAAGACGATTGAGAGTGGACACAAAAGTGCATCGATTAAAAAGAGCGTAAAACACTTAAGGAAAAGTGTTAAGCGCAAATACAATTTTTTTAAGCATTTCACCCCAAGCAAGGCGGGAAGCCACTAGGACGCAAGGGGTTACAGAATATTTGGAGCAAGATCAGATAGGAATGATAGAAGAAAGGATGAGGAGAAGAGTAGTGGATAGATCAAGGCAACTGGAGATGTCGATTGACATTACACTTGAATAGCTGGAGATTATAGCTCATAGGAAAACAGGAATAGGGAAGGGAGTTCCACAGGCGAGAGGTGCGAGACATGAAGCTATTGGAGTAGAAGAGACGGCTACATTTAGGAGTTTCGACAGTGAAGGGGTGAGAGCGGGATGCCAGCCTCGTATGGCGCTGGAACTCATGACGTCTGGGAACCAGCAAATGCAGCTTCTTGGAGCAATTTCCATGAAAGTATTTGTAGAACAGACAGAGGGAGGCGACGGTGCGTCTGTGAGAAAGTAAGTAATTGATCGTAAGTTTATACAGCGTAAGACGATTGAGAGCGGACACAAAAGTGTCTACTTCCATAAGAGCGTAAAACAATTGAGCGTGGACACAAAAGCGCCTAAATACAAAAGCGCGTAATACAATTCAGGAAATTCAGTAAATGAGCGTAAGTATAAAGAGCTTAAAGCAGTTGAGGGTAAAATTATAAGCAAGTACAAATCAGCCTAAGTGTAACGAGCTTAAGACAATTTATCGGGGGGAAAAAGACCCTAAGTACAAACGAGGGTAAAACAATTTGGGATAAAGAATTGAGCATAAGTATAAAGAGTTTAAGGCAATTGACCATGGATACAAAAGAGTCTAAGTATGAAAGAGCGTAAAACAATTAAGTGTAAAGAATTAAGCACAAATAGAATTCAGCGTAAGTATAATGAATATAAGACAATTGAAGGGCATACGAAAGAGCTTAAGTCCAAAAGAGCGTAAAACAATTGAAGATAAAGATTTGAGCATGAGTACAAAGAGCCTAAAACAATTGACCTTTGACACAAAGAGCGTAAAACATTTGAGGGTAAAGAGTTAAATACATTTGTGCGTAAGTATAAAGAGCGTGAGACGATTGAGCGAGAATACGAAAGACAATTGAGTACAAATACAAAAGAGTGTAAAACAATTTAGTATATGTATATATTTTATGGTTTCTTGGTGATAAAGATTTACCTTCAGTTCTTATCCTTCTTGTACCTTTAAGTTACTTTCTTAATCTCTAAGTGCCACTCACCAGATTATTCCTTACTAACATTTTGGACAAAGTGTCAAAAATATATTTATGGTTAGTTAATAGTACTACTAAATGTTCATCAATTAGCAGTGATTATGATAGAATCTTTAACTGTAGTCAATAAAACTGATATAATGGAATATGCGTTCACCTGCGTTCCCCCTCACTGGAATATGATTGGCTGGTGTCCGTCATAAATACAGACGGACGTGTAGGTACGAGAAGTCAGAGCTTTAGTCTGAGAGCTAAGTCTATAACGACGCCAATTGGACTACGCCATTGATCTACACTTCTTACCTGCGACTACGACGCGTACCAATCGATTACTGCTACCCTATTCTACTTACTTATAAGTAGCCAAAACCACTTAGCTACTTCGTTCAAATATGTCCCTTTCCGGGGCATATCAAAAACAAACTCCATGTAAAATTCCTTAATTCTATTCCTGTTTGAAATGCGCCATCATTCAAATATTTTGTCCCTAGCTCAAATGCCGCACGTTGCTTTGTTCATAGCTCAAATATCTCAAGCTTTTTTTGTTCATAGCTCAAATATCTCAAGTTTTTTGTTCTTAGCTCAGATGTCAGATCAAATGAATAACGGTGTTTTATCTGTAGTTCAAACGACGCACGTAATTTTTCCGTAGTTAAAATCTTTCATGTTCGCTTATAGATCCACCGATATTCTACGCACTTCCGTTTTTTTTTTTAAAGCTACTGTTTTAAATGATAATGTAGTCAACAAAAAATATACGATTGAGTTTGGTTTGATCAAAGGTTATCTAGTCGTTTGTATTTCATTTTTTTAATGTCATTATCAAAATAGTTATTTATTTATCGCCTCAAGAACATGAAACAAGGCTTTATTTTTTTTAAATAATTGTTTGCACAATTCTGTTGGTAACGGGGAAGTAGAGCTTGGGAAACAGATCACAAGGAACTAGCTTTATGCTAACTACTGAATCTGATCACAGACGATTAGAGTTTAAGGCCACATCACGTTGAAACACCGGTTCCTGTATGATCACCAAAGTTAAGCAACATCGATTCTGTTCAGTACCTAGACGGGTGACCACTTGGGAATACCAGGTGTTGTAAGCTTAGACGTGCGGGTGCTGTAATGGATAATAGCTCGGGATTGAAAATCGGAGAGCCGAGTTCCAATTCCAGTAAGGTTTGTTGTATTCACTTATGCACATATACCTTTGGGAAAAGGTATGAATCTACCTTTTTTTCCTGAGAGTAAAATTTTTCAGATTTAACCTCCAAATCCATACAGTGTTCTGCCTTGACTCTTAAGGGCATAGACCACATCCATGGCGGTAACAGTCTTCCTCTTGGCATGCTCAGTGTAGGTGACGGCATCACGGATAACATTCTCAAGGAAAACCTTAAGGACACCACGTGTCTCCTCGTAGATGAGACCAGAGATACGCTTGGCACCACCTCTGCGAGCCAAACAACGAATAGCGGGCTTGGTGATATCCTGGATGTTATCTCTGAGCACCTTACGATGACGCTTGGCGCCTTCTTTTCCCAATCCTTTTCCTCCGTAATCTGTATATGACGATGTCGGACTTTTGGGAAATACTACCTCTCAAACCAGATCTAAAAACTTTATTTGACGAACCTGGCCTTCTAGCATATCGTAGACATAAGAACCTTAAAGAAAATTATTGGTAATTTACCTCCTAGAATGCACACTATGCCAGAAACAATATGTGGGAAAATCTGAATTGCACTTTCACTATAGGATTAATAATTGTTGTAGCCGAATCAAGTCGGCTCCCCACGAAAAATTATTAACTATAGAATAACATTTTTATAGAAAAACATAATTTTAAAAGCCATATATCTAGATCAGTTAATCTCAGCTGCTGAGCCGCGGCACACTAGTATTCCGCACGATCCTCAAGTGAATTGCGAAATATTGTCACCGCATACATATAGATCTATGTGTGGAAGTAGTAATGGCACAGCGTCAGTATTTGAATAAATGAATAAGTATTAAGTCATGCCAAATTCACTATAATTGAAAAAATAACAAAAATATAAAAGGACCACGAAGACAATTCTAGAAGATAATGAAGACAAATGGATTTTGCGCCTCAAAACACTCTATCTAGACGGGCTTAACTACAAATTTAACAATATAGATAGAATTAATATATAACCCCATAAATCAAGCCCTACTCATATTTCTCACCCACACAAGACAGACATGTTTGCGGAGGTGTTGCGGTTTCACACTTATACAGACACCCATACTAATATATACACTTACACACATTACATACACTCCCGATAAAACTAAATGATAACATATACTTAACACATACACATCCCCCTCCCGGGAACCAATAAAACTGTCAAAATGACCAAGGGAATTTAGAGTAGTATGCTAGCAGAGTATTGCGAGACAGGAGGATTTCAATGGTAATAAAGAATGGAATATACTGTTACGTGACATCTGTTCTTCTTTATGGCAGCGAATGTTGGACGATTTCCTCAAAGATGAAGAAGAGACTTGAGGCGACGGAGATGTTGTTTTACAGAAGGATGATAAGGATATAATGGCCGAGCATGTAAGCAATGATGAGGTCTTAGAGAGGTTGCAAACAAGGAGAAGTTGACATCAGAAAGAGGCAGCTGAAGTTTCCAGGACACATAATGAAGAAGGAGGGCCTGGAGAATCTGATACTCATGCGTCGAACAGAGGGAAAGAGAGACAAGGGAAAGCAGCGTGTGATATACCTGACGAGCTTGAGCAGGTGGTTGACAGAACGTGATCTGGGGGGTGGGGAGCAGAGAGAAAAAGCTTGCTGAGAGCTGCAAGGAGAGAAAGAAGTGGAGAGCCATGATCGCCTACGTTCTGAAAGGACATGGCACATAAAAAGAAAAAAAAGGAATCTATCCAGTCTCTTTCTTAAAAAAGAAACAACTTAAAAGAGTCCGTTTGACCAACGCAAGGACTGACCAAAATTAATGATAAAAAAAAAACAAATGAATACTACAGATAAAGTTCTTTTTCTTCAGAAAGTCAGTCATTTCTTTACTTCACTACTACTAACAACCAGAAATTTTTTCTCCTGATGATGGCCATGCTGGCCGAAACTAGTCGAGGAATTTAATTAAAATAATAAAACAAAAAAAAATATTAATATACAACCCAGTGTGTCTGAAAATTTTAATTTTTTAATTTCTCAATATTTTTATTGTTCAACACACACACACACACATATATATATATATATACATTACAATATCATATATATATGCATATATATGTTATTTTAGAATATATATATATATATATATATATATATATATATATATATATATATATATATATATATATATATATATATATATTATATATATATATATATATATATATATTAATATCATATATATGTATATATATATATAGAATATCATATATATATACATATATATATATTAGAATATCATATATATATACATATATATATATTAGAATATCATATATATATACACATATATATATAGAATATCATATATATATATATATATATATATATATATATATATATATACATATATATATAGAATATCATATATATATATATATATATATATATTATATATATATCATATATATATATATATTAGAATATATATATATATATATATATATATTAGAATATCATATATATATATATATATATATTAGAATATCATATATATATATACATATATATATTAGAATATCATATATAAATATATACATATATATATTAGAATAACATATATATATATATACATATATATATTAGAATATATATATATATATATATATACATATATATATAGAATATCATATATATATACATATATATATTAGAATATATATATATACATATATATGTATATATATATATATATATATATATATATATATATATATATATATATATATATATATATATATTAGAATATCATATATATATATACATATATATATTTTTATATATTAGAATATATATATATATATAAAAAGAAAGAAATAGTAAGATATATAATCCGGTGTAATTATAGATATTTTTATTTTTACAAAATTGTGCTCAATGTAAATTTACAGAGCATTAATATTATAAATTGATTTATTTAAAATATGGTTTTTTCGCTACACAGTTCTAGCCATGTTTCAAAATTGCTCCATTTTTGAAACATGGTTAGAACTGTAGCAAAAAAAACATATTTTAAATAAATAATTTAATTATAATATATATATATATATATATATATATATATATATATATATATATATATATATATATATATTGTGTGTGTATTTAGGCAGCATTTTTTTTATTCATACATGTTTCATTAACTAAATATTTATATAAGCCGAAAGCTTTGATTGGATTAAAAAATATGTATCAATATTGTGATTTTCTTTCTTCGTTTAATGATAATGTTATTAAGCTTATCAGACGTTATGAAAAGAATTTACATAAAATAAAACAGACAACACTTGTCTATATTATTTAATGAAACATATATATATATATATATATATATATATATATATATATATATATATATATATATATATATATATTTGGTTGGATAGATGTAAGTTTGTGACCCCGGGTTTCACGCTTTAGCAATCGTCAGACAAACTGATTAATTTTTAAAAAAATTTGGGTTTATGTAGATTGCGTGTATTGGTGTTATTGTGGAAGTGGTGGGGGAAACTTTGTCGCTTATGTCAGCGTACTAACGCAAACATCGATGTATGCAGACACATATACATACTTGGTCGTCCGTCGGGACTCAAACATATATAAACATATGTGGGCAGTTTCGGACATGACATATATATGTATACGGGTGGTGTTGTGTCTATACATACGCATTTGTATGTTGAAATTTAAAGATTGGAAGTGTGGCGGAAATGTCTCGTGAATGTATACATGTCAAAATAAAAATTTTTTTTTTCCGCTGAATAATATTTCCTCGCATGTATGTATATACGTGTGGTGGGGTTTGTGTAAAATTGTGATAGGTAAAAATTATTATAATTTATATTTATTTTTAAATTTTTGAAAAAAAATGAGGGTTTATTTGTTATATTTAAAGCTGGTTATTTGTTTGTTTTTAGTGACTGTGTATATGTAACAGGTAGAAATTTGTAATCCTTATTGGTTAATTTATATTTAATGTGCTGGGTGAGAGGGTATTTTAATTTAGTAACGGGTCTATATGATATGATGTGATAGTAATGTTGCAAGGGGTTGGAGACAATGATAATATAATTAGCTAAAAGTTATTGTAAATTGGTAGAAATGATTAGTAACGGTGGTGGGAGAATGATAAAACGATGAATGTAGTTATAGTGGTGGTAGTTTGAACTAAAAAGTGGTTGTTGGTATTTTATTTTAATTTATTTTATTTTGTTATATGTATTAATTTATTTTCGTATAAATCCTGATAATAGGTATTCTGTGTAAAATTATGGTAGTTGAAGATTGCTATAATTTTTAATTTTAATTTTTAATAGCTCTATCTCTGATATTGAGCGCTTTCTAATAAGTACCGTGCATATAATATATAAATAATTATACATATATATATTTATTTATATTTATATACACATACACACACACACACACATATATATATGTGTGTGTGTGTGTATATATATTAGAATATATATATATATATATATATATATATATATATATATATATATATATATATATATATATATATATATATATATTTTTAAATTGTGAAACAAAAAAAATAATTACAGAGTTCCCTCTATCTTTTCTCCAAATATTTACATAGCTACTGGTCTGACGTGCTAGTTTCCTCGGTGCCCCAAATACATAAATTTAAGCGTGCTACTAGATTGGCATCTAGGTCCCACCCTTTTTAGTGTTGAAACAGTTAAATGTAACTACCACTTCTATTCTAACAGTTTAGTCTCTCGCAATTCCCGGCTGAAAAACAAATGTGTCATAGCAAGCCTTAAATGAAAAAAAAAAAAAAATAATTAAACAAAAAATGTCATCCAGTAAAAGGCTCAATCGTTGACCCCAGTACAGAAAC